GTATAAATAATTTCGTATAAACATTAAAAAATCACCACTTTTCATTACGATAAAGTGACTTATGCCACTTTCAAAATAAACGGCTCAAACGACGCGTGAGTCAACGAAAATGAATCCTTTGAGAACAGATGTCAACATATTGACGACATTAGAACTGCACATTTTAAGAGAACGAGACAATTTATGTTTCTTGTATGTCCTCAGTTACGTTCCTTACTAGATTTTGACAACAGTAGAATCAAATTTTGTTTCGACTTCGAAGAAATGAATAACATTCACATTTCTATGGTTGTATGGAAAAACGCCGCATGACGAATTTCACACAATTTAACTTTATGCAATAATTCATCCGTAGGATACATAATTTAGGTATTCATCGTACTCGAGTAAAGATTCGGGTATGCGAATATGGCAAACTTTTAGAACCCGATCTGAATGACAGGAATTTCGATGATATCGAAATACATGTTGTGGTCCATATGCAATTAGGGGGAATGATGAAATCATCATCTCTCTAATTTCGAATTCTGTTTAAAAGTTACAAGCTCTCAAAGTTTCCAGTTTGCAAATGCAAACCCTTAAATATATCGACTTAAAAACAAATTGACTTATGCCGCTTTCAAAATAAACGGCTCACATAGTGCACTGCTTTTGGTCGGTATGGCATGGCCGTTTCATTTGCACACATATACAACAAGTATCGATACAGTGTGCGATTTAGGGGAACCCCAATACTACCGCGTAATACTGAAACAGCGTTAAGCGGAGTCTTACTGTACGTGGATATTTTAATTTTTCTGCACCAGAATCTCTTCGTATCCCATAAAATTGACCATAAAAGAACCGCGATACACTTATCTCTTATTGTTAAAACAAAGAACCATTTACATATTTCAGTATTGTCAAAATATTGAAACTAAGAATCTTACGTTAGTGTGTAAATAAATACGAAATAACTAAATATGACGAAGATAGAGACAAAAACGAGCGAGAAGATGCAATCGAATTTTTGTTACAACGAGCGTATGAAATTTGGGAAATGAAAACGACGACGAAAAGTGTCCGGTTTTACAATGATGTGGAAAGAGCAGTAGTGAAAGAGAGTAGTCGAACGAATCGACAGCGCGATGGCGGAGCGACACATGCCGTGAAAGTGTGGACAGCTCTGCATGAATTAACTCGTCAGCGGTTCGTTCGAAATTCATGCCGCGCAAAACTGAACCGCCGTGTGGTTGATTTGGCACAGTAGAAATTACGGTATCGCGTGTGTGTGTGTGTGTGTGCGGTACCGGCGCGGTGGCGAGCGTGAAATTGCTGTATACAGTGGCGTGATTACGTTATCGTTACCCGTCTCATAATTGCCGTCACTCTTGCGCGCTGCGCTGCGCTGCGCGACGCGACTCGTGACGCGACTCAACGAAAGCGTGACGTATCAATGAAAGTGCCTGACGACGATCAACAATGCGCCGCGCCGGTGTCAACAACGAGAAATAACAGCGGGGACCGACTTCTTACGATTGCTAATCTCATACAATCCACGGGCTCGCGATTTATTACAATATTCCACGGAGAACATCGATCCATGGGATATCATCTTTTTAATGACGCAAAAATCAAGATGTTCGATCGATAGGAATAAAAATTCGTCCGTCGGTCGGTTTTATCGTATTATATAATATATAATAAAATTGAATATTTTAAATTTTATAACAATTATTATTTTGTTATAATTTTATTGAAATTTATTGATTATATTTGCGAATCAATTTAAAATTGAGTTTCAAAATTAGAGTATTTAAAAACTTAAATTTTCGGTAATATTAATTAATAAAATTATATATTTTTAATTTTGTAACAATTATTATTTTGTTATAATTTTATTTAGATTTATTGATTAATTTTAAAATCAATTTAAAATTGAGTTTCAAAATTAAAATATGAAATACTTAAATTTTAAATAAAAATTGAATAAAATTTAAGATAAAATTAATTTTAAATTAAATTTAAAAAATTCAATGTTTAACCAACTTTTAATTTTAATTTAAATCATTATTTCAACATTAAAATATAAATCGTTTAAATTGCACTTACCTATGCTGCAACATTTGACACCTGCTTGCGGACACGGAGCATTTTCTATGAATATTTCACATTTGTCAGGTGCAATGCAATTCTCCAGCGAGCAAGCCTCGTCACTGTCTGCGCTTTCTGAAACTAGATGTTTAAAGTGCATAATATTTCGAAGTTCCAGCCATCCGGCTTTATTCGATTCATCTCGATTTTGATTTCGTGTTACAGGAAATCGTGTTAATCGTTCCTCCAATAACACAAATATTGCTATCGTGTGTGAAGGTAACATTTCTGTCTCTTATACACATCTACAGGAAATCGTGTTAATCGTTCCTCCAATAACACAAATATTGCTATCGTGTGTGAAGGTAACATTTCTGTCTCTTATACACATCTACAGGAAATCGTGTTAATCGTTCCTCCAATAACACAAATATTGCTATCGTGTGTGAAGGTAACATTTCGTTCCGCAGAAATACAAACGAAGAAAATAACGAGATAAATTCGATATGTAGTTATAATTACTTAAACGAAATCGGAAGGATACTTTGTTAATATTTAATTTCTATAACTCGATTTCCGTCTAATTAGTTGTTCATTTTCATATATTTAAATTTTATTAGACAATTTATGTATCCTTATTATATGATGTATTTTATTGCTGTGTTACGGACTTTGTAAGCATTCGTTATCTACAAAAATATTGAAACTGGAGTTTTATAGAAAATTCGTGGTAATCGTTCCTCCAATAACACAAATATTGCTATCGTGTGTGAAGGTAACATTTCGTTCCGCAGAAATACAAACGAAGAAAATAACGAGATAAATTCGATATAGAGTTATAATTACATAAACGAAATCGGAAGGATACTTTGCTAATATTTAATTTCTATAATTTATGAAACAAGTCGATTCGAGCCGTACTTGTATAAAAGATTGATAAATGAATCATGAAGGATACCTTCCACCTATTGCACAAAAATTGGAATTAGTTTACCGACAGGTTCGAAAATTAGCGAAGCATCGGACACCTCGCGAGTTTGTTTTGTTCCGAGTACATGGAATAGTATGTTGTATTGGGTTGGCAACTAAGTAAGTGTCGATTTCAGTTATACATGTCTCTCACTCCTATTTTTATGATATCCGTAAATGTTATATTATAAAATTATTATTATTATTATTATGTTATTTTTTATTATCCGTGAATGTTAGCAACTGGACAAATTGAATGCAGCGGTCAAGGAAAAGCGACCAGAATTGGTCGATCGTAAAGGTGTCATTTTCCAGCAGGACAATGCTAAGCCGCACACGTCTTTGTCCGCTCGGCAAAAATTCATGGATATTGGTTGGGAATTCATGTTACACCCACTATATTAGCCCTGATCTCGCGCCATCGGATGACCACTTATTTCGATCCCTGGACAACTCCCTTCGTGGTAAAACTTTTAACGACGACGACGCTGTAAAATCTCACTGAACTCAGTTTTTGGCCGAAAAGGATCAGACTTTCTACGAGCGTGGAATTTTCAAGTTGTCGGAGAGATGGCAAAAGGTCATCGAACAAAATGGAAAATACATTACAGATTAAACTTCGTTCCAAGTAAAAAGAAATTTTTTATTTCATTGAACAAATCGGCAATTACTTAGTTGCCAACCCAATATAAATGGAAAACTGGTTTCCCAAACTGCTTTTATTCCCCGTGAATATTCTTGGCCACTTGTCAGCCGCGTTTCCAATACTCGAATGTAACAGGATCGAGTCAAAAAGACGTCGCCGACGCTGGATTTTCCGCGATCGAACGTATAAGTTCCGAAGGGAACGCGGGCGCCATCGAACCGGTTCAGACCGAAAAGGGAAGAGTCGAGGCGGGATCGCTGAGGCGCATATTTTAATTTACTATGATGCTTCTGTGTAGCGGTAAAGAAAGCCATTCAGTGTTCGAGCGATCAAAGGGGAACCCGTAGCTATTTTCGACGTTGCATGTTGCTCCGCTGTGAAATCCGTAATCGAAGCTAAACACTGAACAACAAAGATCACGGTGTAACGGATGGAAATAGATCAAGGATGAAATTCACGATAAAACGGGATCACCGATTTTGATAGCGTTTAATGTGTACGCGAAATTATAACAGCCTTAAAGATTTAACTTTTCGGTAATAGCGTTGGTGTTGGAGAGTTCATACGAAGGACACATTACGATATAATATTTTCGACATGCTCGTTGTTTCGGTTCTTTCTGTATTGTTAAAATGTGTCCATTGTTATTTATCATCGAATTATATTATATCTATAAGAGTCGGTGTATTTCATGGACTCATTGTACATTTTACTGGAAAGGAGAAGCCACCCAGCAATGTCAGAACAATGGAACACGTTGTTTATGATCGGCAAATATTTGTTAAATGTGGATCCACGTACAGCTTTCGGAGCATGAAAAAGTAAATAGAGATACATGGAACGTGTAACAACAATGGAAACATTAAAACAGAATTTTTTCTCGAACCTCCGTGCTTTTAATTAACGAAAGAATTTAACAAATTCGATTTCATGTAACGTAAAACGACCACTAAAATGAGCCGTTTATTTTGAAAGTGGCATAAGTCACTTTACCGTAATGAAAAGTGGCGATTTTTTAACGTTTATACGAAATTATTTATACCGAGGAAAATACCAGTATCCCGAGATAACAAATACAAGTAAATCGTCTCTAAAGTTAGCGTCCATATTTTTAAACGTGTTAAAACGCAAACCCTGAAATATATCGACTTAAAAACAAAGTGACTTATGCCACTTTCAAAATAAACGGCTCAAACGACACACGAGTAAGCAAATTAAATATAGAATTTCGTCAAAGTATTTACACAACTAATCCAAAAATTTCAAAACGAAGAGCAAATCGTCGATCCGTGTTTCACAATGTCCTAGAACTTCGAACGTGCCGCAAGTCCATCAAATGCATCGTTCAATCGTAGCGAATTAAAGGAATAATGGAAAAATAAGAAAGGCGGAGAAAGTGAGGTCCGTTGAACCAAACGGCGGAAGTAGCGTAGGCGGAATAATTTCGGTGAATCGAGAACGAGTTCGCGGTATTAAATTGTAACTGTTTTGCTCACCAGCGGAGTGCAGAAGGGTGGCCACGAGGGCGACGAGAACAACAGGCAGACAGAGCTTCATGTTCCTGTACACCGAGGTTCGTTGGTACGCTTGTCTCTTTGACAGTCGACGATTCAATGGTCTCACTTTCCCGGGCCTGGCATTATATAAACGTAAGCGTCCAGTGTTACGCGACACGCACACACATACTCCGTGGGCCACTCGAGCACGCGCGCGCGACGTTGTTCCGTTGTCGTGCATTTCATTATCTCCGGTCGGCGCGATGTGCGAACACGTTGTTGGTTCTATCTTGAAGCGGTTCGATCGATCCCTCCGGTGATTTCCGGAGCGGAGCGCGTCTTCGTGCTTCCCCTCGGGTAAACAGCCGCGACATGAATCGCTCGTTGAACGTGTTTACGCATAGATTAATGTTTAATCGACGACACGCGTGTAATAACGATGGATTTTTCGAAATTTTCCCGATTCAGCGTCGATCTTTCTTCGAACGACGCTCCTCCTGGCGATCCTGGTTATTCCGGAGCCGTCATTTTTACGCTCGGCATCGAGACTTTCAGTTTACACAGTTTCGGAGTATTTTTATAGTTTCTCGTGGTTTCATATGTTTTTGTATCTTTAGGTTATTAGGTATCGTTAGGTGCCCATTAGATACGCGCCTTTCGTAATTGCTATTGGGTTTTATCAGTTAATGAGGCAGTCATGTTTCAGCGAGCAATTTTTAGATGTGCAACTTTGCTATATACGGTGCTGGGAATAATTATAGACTCGAAGCAAGTTTTTAGCGATGTTTCAACAAAAACATAACAGGACGTCGTATTTGTGTATTTCTATACTAGAAATAATAAAAGTAGAGGTATAGAAATACAGTTCTTCTTTTAAAAATTAATAAATTTAAGAAAATATAAAAAATAATTTAATAAATATTTTTTAAATATCAATAATAATGTAAATGTTACTTTGTGTCCATATAAACATAACAAAACTTCGCATTTGTGTATTTTGATACTAGAAATAATAAAAGTAGAAATATAGAAATACAGTTCTTGTTTAAATGTTAATAAATTTAAGAAAATATATAAAATAATTTAATAAATATTTTCTAAATATAAATAATAATGTAAATATTACTTTGTGTCTATAATTATGCACTTCACTGTACAT